TGTCATTATGACACCATTTGCCGATCCGACAGTTGAGATAGCTACACACAGTGGCATTACAAATGCAAATTTGCCGTAGACCTTCTGCGCAAATAGCTAGAAAAAATTGTTTTATGACTAGGAAAAAGACAGCAATTAAACTGAATTTTCCCTTCTCTGAAACTCGACAGCATTTTGGGATGCGAACAAATTATAACTTTTTCTAATAATTACGAAGGATCTTCAGTCCCAGAAAGTTGAAAGCTATGTCAAATCTTACTAATTTTTCATACTTCTTCTCAATATTTCTTGCTGTTTGAAATTGTTAATTCTCCTTTGAAGCAAATCTAGCACTTAAACGCCTCCCAATGTCGATCTGACACATATATGTCTAACTTACAACAGCGACTGCAGGGCTAATTAACATCTCATCCGGTGAAATAACAACATATAAAGCGACATTGAACAATGTGTAGATCACTGTTACGATAACACAGGAGAACATCACGGCTAACGGCAGATTCCTATAAGCATATGCTTACAAATTCTTACTTTGGTGTATTTAAATCAAGAGCTGAAGACCTTTTTGGATTGATTAGTTCTTCTGTGATGAAATTGAGATATGTCCAGCCTTGGTAAGCGAATAGACCTGAGTAGAATCCCACTGAAGCTTGATAGAAATCGCGAAAATTGCCCTCAAAAATGTTCTCAAACGAATCTCGGTATTGTGGACCACCTGAAAGGAAGTGTTCTCCGTAATGAACAGTTTTCTTCTCTCTCAACTGACCGAAAAACAAAAGGCCTGCCCCAGTAACAATGACCAGCAGAAGAGCGACAATTTTTGCATACGTGAACCAGTCCTGAACTATTGTTGCCAACTTTACGGACCAACAATTTATGGCACCAAGAATCACTAAATGGACATTTATAGAAATGAAAATAATAGAGGTGAACAAACAAGAACATACTTATCATCAATGCGGCTAAAAGTTCCTTAGTGTATGGAGGCGGATCACAGTCTGGATAGAATGGACGAAGCATGTACAGAGCAAATGTTAGCCCCACAATCGTTAGGGCGCATGGCCTGCAATGGGAAAATATAAGTTCAACAATAAGTATATAAAGAAGCTATAAACCCTTTTCTTTTTTGTTGCTTTTCTCTCTGCCTAAGTTCTCTTAGTAGTAAATTAGAGCGTCTCAAAGAGCGAAATGGGGCCTATATGTTAGCAGAGTGATTTGAGTGAAACATACAACGAACTCAAGATATTGAATTCAAATTATATGGGAACGTTCATTACATCGTAACCTATGAGATTTCGTGGAGGCTAAAACCTATTTGTAGAATTGAACGTTGAAAGAAGGAGTGTGATGAATAGAAAGGTTTCTTCAGTCTATGCTTCACTATAAGCATTGTGATTATGAAAAAATTA